CTTCATTCTTCATCAAATTTTCGAGATCTAACGGATTTTCAAGGAGATTATTCCATAAAAATTCATCATCTAAGGTAAGTTGATGCTTAATCTATGATCTAACTACTTCATTTCATCAAAAACCTCCTCTTAATCTATTCAAACTCATGATCACCATCTTAGAAGCCTCGAAGTTCGAGATATTCTAAGAAGACTTGCTAGGATCGAAACTTTCTTTATTTCTTCCTTCAAAACCGAACCCACAACTAAAGGTGAGCTTCATACCCCTCTATTCTTGGTTTTCATAAGTTTTATGGGGGAGAATACATGCAAAATGTGTAGATCTATGTGTATATGTGTGCTATGTATGATTTTATGCATGTATGTGTGATTTTATGTGTTTTGTGATGAATATGTAATCAAAAGGGAAGATAATTTGAGATTTATACCATAAGAAGGAAAAGCAAACCCGATCTAAGTTATATTATACTAAACAAGTCAAAAAAATAACTCATAAGATTGTGATAAACATATTTCAACATAAAAGCCATTTTGGGGCTTAAATTGTCAAATATACAAAAGTTGCGTTAAAAGTTGCCAATCACGATTTCTTAAAGGTTAAAAGAATCAAAACAGTTACAATAGTTGTTTTTATGAACATTATGACCTTCAAAGGACCTAAAATATAAATATTAGCTTAATGGGCTCAATTTTGGGCTTTTCGGCCCAATAACCCAAAAATCGCGAAAATATGACATTTAAAGGGGATGAAATTGTAAATTCTTGAAAACAAGGGATAACAAGTGTAACAAAACTATTTCAAGGGTTAAAAAAGCTTTTCTTTTCCAAAAAGGATAAAAAATGCAAAGTTTTTAGCTTTTGGGCTAAAATCGTGAAACTTGCAAAAATTTGGGTTTTAACTGAAAAATATACTATTCTGGAATGGCTGAAACTGCCAAAGAATAAGTCTTGAGTTTAAAAATATCATTTAAACAAGTCTATGGTTCAAAAGTGTCACGAAAATGTTTTAAGGACTTAAAATGACTTTTCTTTTATATAAAGGACTAAAATTGTTATTTTATAAAAAGAAAGGGGTTGAAAAGGGTCAAACCACTATTTTTAGACCACGTATTTTATTTATAGAATAATGCGTCAAAAATACTAATCTACGGCTTACAAAAATCGAAGGATACACGTATGACTCCAAATATCGTTATAAACAAATCGCTCGGTCTCGAGTCAATACAAAAATAACAAGTCGTTCAAGCAAACCCTACAACAAGTATACAATGCCTAAGACAAATAAACATTCCAAAAACCTTGGGCTGAAAGCCTCAAATCATGCTTGTTGGATCTTGAAGTCTATTAACATGATCTTTGGGCCCAATGGGATAATGATTATATGTTATTGGGCCTTCTATGACCCAATTCCATATAAAGGGACCTTCAATGGCTATTAAGTGCTTTTGGGCCCTAGGGACCCATTAGTATTGCCAGTAAGGTCAAAGTAATCAAATGCGAGACGGACCAACGTGTCTTTTGCATCCCCGACAGCCTAAAGTGAACTCACGGAAGTAGTAGGACTTTGTACTCCTCTTTTCCTTATTAGCTAGACTTATGAGTAATCAAAGTAAACAGATTCAGTTTGTTAATCAAAAGTAATCAAGGTTGTTTGGATTTAAGTGAGTAATAACGGATGACATCTCTAAGGATCGTTCGTAGCTTGTAGTTATAAGTAGTCACTATCATGCACGGTTATAACGACTCACAACCATTAATTAATCCAAACCATCCGAGTAATCAAGGAAGAGTAATCAAGATCATTCATTGTGGCGGTATAACAATTTGAGTAATCACTATATTTTATGTATTTGGAAAACATCGGGTTTTCCGGGGAGGTTCAACATTTTCACTTGTACGTTTAATACTAAGTTCTTCAATTATACTTGTTTTTGAAATTATCATGCATATATGTACGGATCTTCACACCTTTTTACAAACAACGATCTTTTCAGAAAATATCGGATTTTCTGGGTTGTTCTCGTTCAAACTACACAAAACATTTTTCATATCAAACATACTTATGAACTAACCAACATTCCATACGTTGACCGTTTTTCAAAATAACTTGTATTCTTAGGTAACAGGTAAGCTGAGGAATAAGTACCAAGTATGTTAGTGTGTTTTGTTTTTTGAAAACTATCAAACAACTTATGTATGGATTTGTAATGTTAAAACAATGTACTTGATGTGAACAACGTCGGTTGTAATATATTGATGCATGGTGATGTTTATGTTATGTTTCATGTATATTCATTGTGATGATAATCAATTTAATCACACGAGCCCTCGGACGTTTCCGCCGTCTGTTTCGGGGGTGTGACAATCTCACATGAACATCCTCTTAAAAATAGAAACTCCAAATGAGAAAAGGTTGTGGCTTATCTATCACAACCAAGTATAACTTCAATTCGTTCTAAGCCACATGCTACTTGGAAACAAAATACAAAAGTGAGATGTCCATAATCAAAATTATAAAGTATTTCTAAATATCTTAACTTTATATGGCGTAGCTTTGTGAGCACTGATAAAATTATATGTAAATGTTATGGAAACATGAAAACAAATTATCTTGTGATGATTTTCTTTCGAGCATCATTTTGTTTCCTCCATGTATAACATTAAGGTGAGAACATATGACGAAATTGAGGCATCTATGTAAACTATATATATATATATATATATATATAAATATTATTATATATATATAGCAAAGCAAAATACATTAATTACTTTGTGGAAAATAGCCAAAAAAAACCAAAATTATAAAACTAGCCCTTAAAATCGCAGATGAACTAAGTCCATCTGTGATTTCGCATTTCCATCTGCGCACATACAAATGCCTAAAGGACATCTATGCTTTAGGCACTTGTACGTTCGCAGATGGAACAGTCCATCTGTGATTTTGTACATTCCATCTGTAATTTCGTAGCTATATTGTATAAAACGTTTTTTTTCCTTCATTTTTCATTATCTTTTTTAGAGTAACTCTCTTTTCCACCTCCCGCCGGTTACAACGCAAACCAAATATTCATTCATTTGTTAGAGAGGTTTTAAACAAATTTTTCAAAAAAATAACAACAAAAAAAAAATTTTTGAAAATTTTTCTATATAATAAGGTTGTTTCGTAGTCGTAGTCAAAATTAAAAAATTAAAAAAGGTGAGCCCGAGGTCGCTAGAGGAAAATACCCCTAGGGTCGTTACAGGAGAAATGAGCAAAGATGTTGTCGGCGAGGTGAGACAAGATTATCGATTAATTCTTGTAGAGGCCAGAGATCAACAAGTGTTTTCGTTCTTGAAAAAGCCCTAGTCCCTGCGATTTTGTGGAATTTAGTAGTACTCATACTTCGGTCGAGGCGTGTTTGAAATACTTATAAAGCGACATCTCTACACGACACTCATTTAAGAAAAGTGTCATTCGTGTTTTTAATTTTTTTTTTACACTAATTTTATGGCACGTATAAATGCATTCCTCTATCCTTTGAATTTTGGAAAACTTACATTAATTTTAGGAAACACAAAAAATGTGTATAGTTAATCAGTGCGTGTTATTGATTGCGTGTCATTAAAGAGTTATTTTCCTATAGTGAAATAAATAGCTTAAAAATAACTTAAAATAAGAATTGTTAAAGTAATATTATATAAAGAATTATAATGTTATCTTTAAAACCAAAAACCAGATTTGTTGTTTTAAATAATTATAATCAAAGAAACGAATAATATTAATCAAATATATTTTAAAAAAAGTTAAATTTCTGAAACCAAATTAAATAACTAAGATTTTTCAAATATATTATTTTAAATAACTTACAACAACACTAGTTAAAAGTAAAATCATATACAAAAATTTTATTTTTACCTTTAAAAATAAAATCAATTTTGATGTTTTAAATAATTACAATGATAAAAAATTAAACTCTTATTCAAATAAACTAATTTAAATTAATTAATCAAAACAACAACGATAAACATTTTTAAACCATATATTATATTTAATTTAATTCATGAGTAATCTTTGGTAGAGACCATTGAAACAATTAAGTACATATAATTTTAAAAGATGTTTATTATCGTATAGTTCAAAACAAACAATGTTTATACAAACTTATTTTATAATAGACAAAACTGCATTTTTCGTCCCTGTGGTTATCCAAAAATTGTGGATAAGGTCCAAAATGTTTTCAAGTTGCATGGTTGGTCCAAAACATGAAACTTCTTGTGGTTTTGGTCCTTGGAGTTAACTCCCGTCCATTTCCTTCCGTTTAGTGTAGCACGTGCCCTCCATGTGAGGGTAATTTTGTCTTTTCATTTGTATTACACATTACCGCCAATTGAAAGCTCTATAGCCTATTTGTGTATATCATCCATAATTATCAGTTGGCTACTCCTATTCCTTCATCCACCTTTGACGACGTGAAGATAAAAAAAACCCTAATCACAAACCCTTTTCCTGATCGAGCTTCAATCTGTAGTTGAAATTTCGCAAATACTTCTGACAATGTGGTCCATCAGAGCACACGGTGAAGAAATTGATCCCAATCAAATTTATGGTAAGATGCTTGTATTTGATCACGTTCTTACACTTTTGAAATCTAAAAATCGTTTTTTGTTTTTTTTTTTAAGCTGGACATTCCACCATGTTCAATATGGAGCTTCATCATGGTGGGAAGTTCACAAAGTTTCCAGGCAACAAGTATATTGAAGGGGTTGTAGCATACATTGATGTGATCGATATATAAGAATTCTCATAACACGAAATGGACTCCATCATGTTAGATTTAGGGTATGTTGTTCCACCTGTCATCTACTACCATTTCCGTTTGCCCAATGAGGGTTTGGATTTTGGACTAAGAGCTCTAGGTAATGATGATGATGTACGTAACCTATCAAAATACGTGAGTGAGAACAAACTGATAATAGTGTACACATAGCATGGAGAAACAACGTTAGTTATCTATTTCATGTCCCCAAATGGTCCTAGAAGGGTTATAATAGAAGAGATTGAAGATGAGGAACCACCTCTGCCCGTATCCCCTACTGTAGGGTTGACCTTGGCAAGGTATGGGTTTTTCACACCTGAGTTGAGTAGGGGTAGAGGTTGGAAACCTACCCAAGGTAGCTCATCATGTAGTAAAAAGCTTTGCTTAGATTGGGTAGACAAAGGAGGAATAAGTGTTGTTGAAGGTGATCAAGTTGACCTTGTGACTACTAATGTTGATGTAGATATGGTTGAAAAATTAGTGAATGAAGATGTAGAGGAGGGGCAACCTATTGCAAATAAGGGTGTAGAGGAGGGGTGTACTGCTATGAATAAGCAACAACAATCAAATGAAGTCCCTTTTGAAGACAACTATAGTGTAGAAGAGGAAATTTTGGAAGATTTTTACCCTTTCTATGGGGTTGAATTTAATGAAAGTATTCCGAAAAAACCATCCAACATGGTTGATGTAGATGCAAGTAATGATGATGATTCAGATAGCAGTGAAGACAACAGTGAAGATAATGACTTTATGGTTGATGAAGATAACCTAATTCCAGATATTGAAGTAGACATGGAGAATTTTTACATGAGTATAGACACAAATGCAGAGTACTTAGGGAGTGTGTATAAGTTTCATGAGGGTAATGATGTTCAAGAGGAAGTAGAGGATATAGAGGTTATTAACAATGATGAATGGGATTCTATGGGTGAAGACTCAGATAATGATAGGAAAAGAAGGCAGATCATCAAACAGTTAGGCAAGGAGAGAGTGTGTTCTCATGGTGAAGTGCACAAGGTGGCCTTCCATGTAGGACAAAAATATAAATCAAAAAAAGAACTAAAGGAAAAATTGATAGGCATGCAATGGAGACTAGAAGAAATATTTGTTTTACAAAAAATGACATACATAGCTTGACATCTGTTTGTAAGGGAACTGTGGTAGTCAATGCAAGTGGGGTTGGTGGACCTACCACAAAAAAAGGTAAAGGGCAAAGAAGTAATTGAAGAAAAGGCCAAGTGTACTTGGAGACTCCACGCTTCTAGGGCAAATGATAATGAGTACTGGTTTGTAAAGGGCAAAGAAGTAATTGAAGCTCTCGCAACAAAAATGGTGGTCGGAGACTATACTAAACAGGATGCAGTTTTAAGAGATTATGTGTTAGAGTTACAAGCAACAAATGTGGATACAACTGTAAAAATTCAAGTGGAGTCTGAGCCTAACTGTAACAACTCAACCAGGCAATTCAAAAGGATGTATGTGTTCTTAGGAGCTTTAAAGAAAGGGTTTAAGATTGGGATGAGGGATTTTTTAGGTTTGGATGGTGCATTCATGAAAGGACCATTCCCAGGTCAGATTCTTACAGCTGTTGGGGTTGATTCCAACAATGGAATCTATCCCCTAGCATATGCAATTGTGGAGACTAAGAACACCGATAGCTGGAAATGGTTTTTGGAATGTCTTGGAGATGACTTGGACATTCATGCTAACTCAAACTTCACATTTATCAGTGACAAACAGAAGGTACTTTTATGGTTAACATATTTTGCTAGACAACTAACTTATACTTATATACTAATTTAGCTATTTCCTTCATGTAAACAGGGTCTCATACCTGCTATTGCACAAATATTTCCTTGTGCTGAACATAGATATTGTCTAAGGCATATCTATGAGAATATGAGAAAAGTACGGAGATAACAGAGTACAAGGAACATTTGTGGAATTGTGCTAAAGTCACAACCATCCCGAAGTTTGAAACACTGATGAGAGATTTCAGATCCTATGACGTGGAAGCATATGAATGGCTTATGAAAATCCCTCCCCATCATTGGGCTAGAAGCCATTTCTCAGGTAATTACTTATTTGTATAATTTTATATATTTTCATTATTTCCCATTGATTTTGCTTACCAACATGTACTATATAATAATAGGTAGGGAATGTTAGATATGTTGTTGAATAATTTGTGTGAAGATTTCAACAGTAAGCTCGTAAAAGGAAGGGATAAACCAATAATAACCTGTTTGGAGTTCATAAGGGAATATCTTATGAAAAGAGTTTGTAATGTGATGAAGGTGATAAACACATGCACAGGTCCACTAACACCTACTGGTGAAAGGTTGTTACATGCAAACATATCAAGTGCTTCACAATACACTGCAAGATGGAATGGAGTGAGTAAGTACCAGGTTAAAGGGCCATGGCATGATCAACATATTGTGGACATGGGGCAGATGACTTGCAGCTGTAGGAAATGGGAGTTGACAGGCATGCCTTGCAAGCATGCAATTGCAACAATCAATGAAATGGCAGATAATGGTGAGCAAGTAGGAGAACTGTACACCTATGTGCATAAGGTGTATTGGCTAGAAACATGGAAAAGCATGTACTCTTTCACAGTCGACTCCATCAAAGGAAGGAGCATGTGGCCTAAGAGTGATAGTCCAACAACCCTTACCCCTCCACCACACCACAAGCAACCAGGAAGACCAAAAAAGAAAAGGAGGCAACTACTGATGAGAAGAGTGTAAGCCAAAGTCAGAAAGAGAACCCACAACAAGGTCAATGTGAAAGTCAGAAGCTAACTAGGAAATTTGTGAGTGTGACATGTAGTAAGTGTAAGAACAAGGGCCATAATGCCAGGACATGCAAGGGTACGGGGGGGAATGGAGGTACCAGTCAAGCAAATGAAGTTTGAAGTGTTGCAAGGGTAGGCTACTAGATTTTGTGTTTTATTTGTGGTTGTAATATTGGTAATGTTTTAAAACTCTACTTATTAAGTAATATTTATGCCCTTTTGAACTTGGTTATGTAATGGTTATGCACTTTTGAACATGGTTATGCAATAGCTATGTAATTTTGGTACTGCTTAATGGTAATGTTGCAAGGGTAGGCTACTAGATTTTTTGTTTTATTTGTGGTTGTAATAGTTGGTAAAGTTTTAAAACTATTGTTATTATGTAATATTTATGCCCTTTTGAACATGGTTATGTAATGGTTATGCACTTTTGAACATGGTTATGCAATAGCTATGTAATTTTGGTACTGCTTAATGGTAATGTTTGGTTTTTTGTTTTGTTAAAGCAGTTATTGGTAATGTACTTTCTGTATTCTGTTATGGTTAACATCATAGTCAATATTTAACATTTTCAGCATTACACCATACACTATTATCATAACCATTTCAACTGAGACAATTTATAACAAAAACTACTGAGACAATTTATAACAAAAACTAACAATTTCATTAAAACAAGTTACCATTGATAACCAAAAACTAACACTTTCAGCTTACAATTTATAACAAAAACTAACACTTCCAGCTTAGAAAAACCAACACCAAAACACAACATTACAACAATCTTCCAAAAAGTACACCCTAACATGTAAGCCCTAATTCCTAAAGTAGATAACCAAAAGAAGCAGAACCCACCTTATAACCAAATACATCTTGAGTTTTGTTGAATCACGTTGCATATTCCCCAAATCCAACTCATGCCTGTTGATTGTTCTCAGCAATTGTCGATCTTGGACACATGTGGGGGTCAACCCACCCAATAGATCTACATTTTGAATCCTACAATTATACAGAAAAGTGGATGGATTATTAAATCAAAATCGTCGACCTAATTTTGCACATTGTTACCTGTTTAGGGCATGCAAAGAAACGACGACCAGGGTTTAAATCTGTCCAGGAGGTTCGCACAACAGCCTCTCTTCCACAAAAACATAGTTGTTGCACCATTGTGAGTGAACAAAGAAATCGATCAACCAAGAAAGAGTAAGAGAGAAAGATGTGTTATCTGAATGAAGATGAAAGAGAAGAGAGACGTTGTGGATTGAGTCTTAAAGGAGTTTTCAAACCACAGGGACCAATAGATAAAAAGACGAAATTACCCTCACATGGAGGGCACGAGCTACACTAAACGGAAGGAAATGGACGGGAGTTAACTCCAGGGACCAAAACCACAAGAAGTTTCATGTTTTGGACCAACCATGCAACTTGAAAATTTTTTGGACCTTATCCACAATTTTTGGATAACCACAGGGACGAAAAATGAAGCTTTGTCTTTATAATATTTTAATATATTATTGTATTCTAGACAAATGCATATATTGGTTTAGTTGAAGTAAAATTTGGTGATTGACGTATTTACCTAACAAATGGATGAAAGTTAAATTGGTAAAACTACATCTAAATCCACAATTGAAAGATTCTATCATTTTTTTTTACACA